AACAAAATTGAATAAATATTAACTTGTTTGTTTTGGTTTTAATGATGAAAGATTTATTTCCCTTTGTTGCAACATACCATTATATAGATATTCTGAGATCAGACTTATTCCTTACACACTATGACCTGAACTTGGAAATCATTGTTGCCAGCGATGCTAGTTCATATGGTGTAGGGGCATGCATTCTTCATAAAATGACTGATGGAACAGTAAAACTGATAGTTCACGTGTCAAGAGCTTTGCTTCCTGCAGAAAAAAAATTATTCGCAGATTGAAAAAGAGGCGCTTGAAATTATATTCGCAGTCATGAAGTTCTACCGCTATATTTATGGTTGACATTTTACTCTACAGACAGACCACAAGTCATTACTCACTATTTTTGGCTCAAAGAAAGGTCTACCTACACACACAGCAAACAGACTACAGAGATGGTGTACTACCTTGCTGAATTACAATTTCAAAATGAAGTACATGTCATCAAAAAAATTCGGCCATGTGGATGGGTTATCAAGACTAATTCCCAAATACAAAGAACCACTGGAAGATACAGTGCTCGCTTCACTTCAGTCAGAAGGAGAATTAAAAACGACCCTTTGTAATACAGTAAGGGAACTTCCAGTGATGCTTGAACAAATTAGACAAGAGGCTCTCCACGATGAGTTTATCAAGCATAAAAAAGTGAAAATTTTTGAAAAGGACCAGCGAACTACAGACATTTTCTCGATATGTGACGAGGTGTTAATATATAGGGAATGCATTGTGATTCTGTCAACCCTCCAGAAGGGTATTCTGAAGGATTTTCATGCTGACCATCCAGGGAGTACTAGAATGAAATGCTTGACACATAGCTATGTCTATTGGCAAAACATGGACAAAGAAATAGAAAATACTGTCAAATTATGTAAAGGTTGTGCCTTGGCAGCAAAGGCACCTCCTGTTAAATTTAGTCCCTGGCCAAAAACAGACCTACCATGATCTAGAATCCACATTGACTTCACAGACCCTATAGAAGGATACTACTACCTCATTGTAGTCGACAGTTTCTCAAAGTGGCCTGAAGTACATATATGTAAAAATCCAACTACTGAAATCACTATAAAATTTCTTCCTGAACTGTTTTCTAGATTTAGGGTAGTGGACACCTTAGTGTCCAATAATGGAAGTCAGTTCACATCAGCAGAATTTAGTGATTTCTGTAAAGCGTATCAGGTCAATCACATCACTAGCACTCCATATCATCTTAGGTCTAATGGACAGGTTGAGGGATTTGTAGATACCTTGGAAGAGAGCTCTGAAAAAAGCTAGGGCTACACCGACTGAAAAAGGCCCTTCAACAGTTCCTTCAAGTCTACAGGATTATGCCTAATGAAAAAACACCAGCTTTGCAATCTCCAGCTGAGGTAATGTTTACATGTCAGATATGATCTGTTTTTGACAAACTACTACCGAAACAGACGAAGCCAGAAAGACATCATACTTACAAAACGATACATCCTGGGAGAAAAAGTTTTTTTCAAAACTTATAAAGATAACAAATCTTTTTGGGAGATGGGTACGATAGAGAAAAGAGTTGGTCACATGATGTATATAGTTAAGAGTCCGAAATTTATTCATAAAAGGTATGTCAATCAGCTCAGGAAGTGCCTAATGGACGAGAATAATAACGGGTTCCCTGAGGAGATGATGATGGATGTCATTTACAATACCTTTGATATTCAGACCCCTCTAGTGGCTCCAGAAAGGTGCCGTTCCAAAAGAAAAAGAAAAGCAACGGATTTGATGGTAGTTAATCCTAAATGTAAAAGACCACAAACAAAAGGTTCACAAGCTTGTTCTACATTGAACTTGACAAAACAAGTCAGCCAAGTTTTAAATTCCTAGCCAGATGTAAAAAGGAAATGCTTTTTTTTTCTTTTTTTTTTTCAATAATTTAAAACAAGTGGAGGAAAACCACTGAAAAGTTGGTAAACTTCCTTTTTTTAAAGTTACATGTAAAAAAAAAAAAAAAAAAATTATTTCTTCACACTCCTGTAGAGTTAAGATTTTAGGAGGGGGGGTGTTGTGGTAAACCCTCCTACAGTAGAATGAACTCTTCTTCCACTCATAAATACTAACTGCAATTGAGTGGGGGAAAGTAGACGTAATGCTAACCTACCGTTCGGATGTACACCAATATCTACTTATTACTAACACTCTTACTTTGTATATATCTTCAATATACTTGTTCAACCTACCTTTGTCTTCTGTGTCTTTCTTTCTGGCCCCTAAACAGGCCACAACACATATGCAGATAAGCAAATAAATATTTATTTAATTTATGGTGCAAACAAAACAGTGCTCAATCTAGTTAAACAGAGCTATGAAGTATATGTTAACAAATACACATATACCTATGTTTGTAGTGCAGCTTAAGTTTCATGGTTTCCCAAGTTGTCAGGCACATGGCAGTTGAGCCACTTGTTACAATGGTTTTTTTTTTAAATACTGGGTCTCATGGGAGGAACACTAAATTATACTCAGATTCAAAGCTCAAAGTTAATATAAATGCAATATATCATTGGTGTTTAAATTTATAAGCTTTTATATGACCACATGGAGTAATAAGATTGATGATAATGAATAAAATCCAACAAATTTTAATTTGCATAATATTCTTGAATTCTTGATCATTGGATAAATTTTACTCCATTGAAATATATTTTGCAAAATAGTTCTAGTAGACATGAATAATTTGCCATTTGGCTTAATCATGAATAAATAAAACAGAAGTTGGAAATTCTGCAGATGGTGAGTTTCTATTGCATTAAAAGTTTGAATAAATGAAATTCTAATTTTGATTCAAAAAGATTAAAAGTTCAGAAAATGAAAATTTGTTTGTTTTTTTTCTTTCAGGTTTAATCAATGATTTTAGTACCTACGCTGTGTGCCCAAACTGTTATTTTGGAATATCAGATTCTCAAATTGCTCAGAAAGTTGACCATTTTTGTATTGAACAATGTGCCAGTGTTTTGATGGATTCTTATTCTATTAAATGCATTTCCGGCCATCAAATCCTTTTAGAAGATCTTGTGCCAGAATTAATGTTGATGCACATACCAAGGTAAATATTTATTTATTATGGACAATAACAAGAATAGCCTGTGGGACTTCCTTCTGGCTCCATGCTTTCCAGCCAACTTTAATCTTCCTGTTCATTATTAATGTTCCTATTCCATACCTACTAACCCCTTGATGTCTTGCATGGGGGAATCAGTTAGGTATGTGCCATGCATGATACACACTTAGGTGATCATGTATCTTTCGATACATGACTGATGAGGCAGATTTTTTTCCACAGTAGGTTGCCATTTCTTTCTGCAGTAGACCAGTTGCCATCTAAGACTATAGAACCCAGTCTGTCCTGCTATTTACCCATAGATGGGGGGGAAAGAAACAGTTCATATCTTTCCTAAGGGTATTAGCACGTAAGTGAATGTAATGGATTCGATTGGAATTCAAACTTGGCTCTCCGATTCCTCAATCTGGGCCGCTATCCATTACTCTAAAACAACAAAAAAAGAAAGAAGGTCATATTTGAATGAAAAAAAAAACAAATTGTTGCTAGTCTGTCACTACTCTATCACTATTTTTATGGTAAATATTTACACAAGCTACATTTTTTAGTTCTATCAGTTCAGAATATTACAGTCAAGGCCAGCCACTGGGACAGATCATCCTCATTCCCTTCATCTTCCATTAGTAAGAAAGAAGTTCCATTTGGACAGCTTCTATAACAATGTAGTAACTCTAGTTTAATGTTCTAATTCCTGAGAATGCCAAATGTTGAAGCAAAAAACAAGATTGGAATGTGAAAAGACTCAGAGAAACTAATTAAGCATCATGAATTAAAAATAATAATTAAGAGCTATAAAATGAGTTTTGAGATAACTCTATGAATTTTTAACCTAAAATAGACCAAGCAGAATTCATTAAGATTTAGTAAGACTAGAGCAGTTATTTTCTACCACTGCATACATATATACATAAAAATGTCTTAAAATAATTGTCAGACTTTGTCCATTTCATAATGTGTGACGTCATTTGTTTACATTTGATACGCCATGAGCAGATATGAATGTACGTAAGAGATTCATGGAAGATTGAAGTTTAAATACAGTAAAATAGACCTTGCCAACCGAACACTCCTCTGTGGCGAAATCAGTAGAAGCATGTCAGGCTATATGACGGTTCCGTATAGGATACAGGTTCGATTCCTGTCAGAGGACACATATTTTCTATGACAATTTCTCAGACATTCAGGCCGGTAAATGTTGTTAATACTGTTTATTATAAACAGAGCATTTACTTAAATATTTGTATCTATAAAAAAAGAATGTATAAACATAAAAATGTCTTAAAATACATACATATACAGCATATATATATATATATATATGTGTGTGTGTGTGTAGTAGTAGTAGTAATAGTAGTAGAGGTACAGTGTTAGTATTTGAATAAATGAATAAGTATTAAACTTTTTTTCAAATAATTCATTTCACTATTCTTCAATTATATTAAACACCGGACACAGATTTCACACTAAATAAGCTGCATTAAATAGTTGAATAGAAACATTGAAATAAAGTAAGTGTCATATTTGTGTGTGTGTGTGTGTATACTTTTTAAATCTATGGTTTTATTTCATAACATTTAAATGCATACCCTTTAAAAATTTTGCTAAGTCTGCCATGATATTTTCATTTGCTTCTATGTGTGCTGTTGTTTAAAAAGCTTGAGAGACACGGGACTAGATATTTCCCAACCTACCCAGTTGGCTCTTGGGTAGTATAAGATTTATGGTCTAAAATTTCCCAAAATTCAAACCCGCAAACAATTTTGGAATGAGCACATTCCATCTGTTGTTTAGACAAAGAAAAGTTATAGTTATCTTATTGAAAAATACAATAAATCAATGACAGAAATGCTTAAATTTTCTTATTCTCTGTCTGCTATTCTGAGGTCTCTCCATTTATTACAAATTACTGCTAGAATAATTTTCCTGTTGACAAACCATCAACTGGGTTACATAGAAAGATTTTTAATTCACTACTGCTTGTGTAATTTAAAATTCTTCAATTCTCTCTCATTAAACCCATTGTTAGATATAAACATATTGGCTTGTGAAATTAATCTGCAGCAAAGAAATTACCACAGCTGTGGATATTTCACACCTGAAATCTTTACAGAATCACAACCACTACTGAGTGAAATCTCTGTAGAATCTGTTTACCTCCCACCTTGCTGATGTCTACATGTGATAGCCATGAAGATAAAAACACAGCCAAGAATACGACAAATGAAAATGAGCAACCGCAGCAGCAAGTCATTATACTTTTTTCAAAGAATTGTTACACTGAGAAACAGATTCTCATGAGGATGCTTCCTTGATCACAACATTCTTAACCACTTTAAGTCTAGGGTCAGCCATTATCTATCCTAGATATCCTCTTAATCTGTACTTCTTATTCTCTTACATCAGTACAACATCATTCAGTAACGCTCTACTCTGGGTGGCTCTTGGGCTTTGTACTGGGTGAACAATAGTTAAAAAAAAAAGGACTGGTAGGATGTGAGACATGCTCAGTTTCACATGGGGTGCATAAATAAGGGCCTGTAACAAAATTTGACCATGGACACAGATATCAATATCCTTTTGGTGCAGTAGGAGAGATACTGCTGTAGGGTTGGAATCCCTGAGACTAGACTCCATCACCACACCATGAACTATAAAGCACCATTTCTAGCACTAGTACAGGAAACATGGCATGATAAGTAGAACAGATACTACACTGGAATCCTAATTGTAAACCTGGAGAGCAGAGTTCTAGTCCAAGAGACAGCACACAGATGTTCTGATTCTATGTAGAAGTATTAGTATTAATGATGACTTTGCTATGTGGACCACTGCCAATTGGTTTCATGTTGCAAATGACTTGTTGGTCATTTGGGATGTCCAAAAAAAAAAAGAAAGGACATTGTTGAAAGATGATGGAGGTTTGCAAAAACTGGAAATTTTTCAGTTAAAAATAAAATAAAAAAATATGCTGATGCATTGAATCCATGTAAGAAATACCTACAAACTTCATGTTTGCTTTAGTGGTTTAGAATAAATGAAGATTTTTTGTGTAGATAGTAAACCGAAGACTATATTCATTCTCCGACAGAATTCGAACCTGTATCCTATACGGAACCATCATTTAGCTTGATGTGCCTTTACCGATTTGACCACAGAGGCACGTTTGGTTAGGATGAATATTTTCTGTGAAAATTTCTTGGATATTCAGGCCAGTAAATGTTGTTTAATACTGTTTATTATAAACAGAGCATTTACTTAAATATTTGTATCTATAAAAAGAATGAATAAACATAAAAATATCTTAAAATATATATATATATATATATATATATATATATATATATAGCTCCTTATAAAATAAGTTGAGCTCTCGGTTGGATTACCTCCCATCAGATTACCATAAGGATCCAAACTTCCAAACTAAAATGGATAAATTTACACCGGACTACTCACTCAAGAACATTCTTCACCCTACGATTGAATCCTTCACCATGTCTTTGACGGAAAAAATCATTGACGTCATAAAAAGAATGAGGTGGAAAATTCACTTCCATCTTAATCCCCATGACAAACCCACTAAACTAGATGAAGCCTTTTACTTTAAATCTCAAAACACTCCACCAAACAATAAATTATTAGAACCTTTTGAACAAGATTTAATTGAGTTAATTAAGAAAATATCCTTCCAGAAAAAATACAACCCATTCCAATCTAAACTCAAAAAAGACATCACAAATATAAGAAATTCAAAAAAACTATGGATCAGAGCTGACAAATCTAAAAATATTTACAAAATTAATCCCTCGGAATACAACCATCTGATTCAAAATAAAGTCTCTGGTTCTTATAAGAAAGACAACAATTCTAAATACTTATCCTCCATACACAAAGAAACTGTGAAATTAGCATTTAAATATAATATTGCTGATAGAATGGGTACAACTCATCTAAAAGACACCTACCTACTTTTTAAAGACCATAAACCTAACTTTCAGAATAATCTACAGTCCAGACTAATAAATCCCTCCAAATCAGAGTTAGGAATAATTTCTAAAAACATCCTAAAAAGAATAAACACATCTATAATTAAAAAATACCCGTTAAACCTTTGGAAAGATTCATCGGACACCATTAACTGGTTCCAAAAAATAAAGAATAAAAATAATACTACTTTTATACAACTTGATATCATCGATTTTCTACTCCTCAATCTCTAAAGAATTATTAGAAAATAGCTTAAGTTTTGCCAGAATCCACACTGACATTACTGACGAAGAAATAAAAATCATAATGGACTCTAGACAGTCCATACTAAAACTGAACAACACTACTTGGATTAAGAAAGATAGACAATTTTGATGTCCCAATGGGATCTTTTGATTCAGCTCAAATAGCAGACCTAATAGGTATATACATTTTAGATATCCTAAGTAGATTCTTTGACCCTCAAAATATAGGACTATACAGAGATGACGGGTTAGTTGCTGTACCTAATACTAATGGTCCGTTAACATCCCAACTACAAAAGAAAATAATTAGGGCCTTCAAATTTCTAGGATTTAGAATCGAGATTTCTTCCAACTTAAAAATAGTAAACTTCCTAGACGTTACATTTAATCTGAACAATAATACTTATAAACCCTTCCAAAAGGAAAACCAATCACCCATATATATAAATATCCACTCCAATCACCTGAAATCAATAATTAAACAAATCCCAAATACAGTAAATGCTAGAATAAATAAACTTTCCTCCAGTAAAACCATTTTTAACCAGAATAAATGGGAATACAATAAAGCCCTGTTAAAAAATAATTTTAAGCAAACACTAAATTACATAGATAAGTCAGTAAATAAAAAATCCACTAAACCCAAAAATAGGAAAAGGAAAATTATATGGTTCAACCCACCTTTTTGTAACCTCTCCAATATTAATATAGGTAAATACTTCATAAAACTGATAGAAAAACACTTTAGCAAAAATG